CAACATACATTTTTTATCTCAAAATAAAAAATAAAAATATTAGTGATAATTTTATATACGAATTAACTAATTTTTAATCAATAATTCAACTTTATCTTAAATAAAACGAAAATTAATATTAATAATAATTATATAAACGAATTAATTAGTATTAAAATCAAATGGAGATAAAAAAAGTCTTTTCAACTATGAAAAGAAGTATTTTTCAAAAAAAAAAAGTGTATTTTTCAAATTCTCAAATTTAATAGGTATATTTTTTAAAAAACTTCTAAAAAAAAAAGAATACTTGATAATAAAGAGAGAAAAAAAACTAATAAAACGTAAAGGATAAAAAGTGTACGCACAAAAATAGAGTGTACGTCGACCTGTGCAAATTAAATATCTAAACAACAAAGAATATAAAAATAATTATTCGTGGATATTTAATTACTTATTGTATAATTTCAAGGGATCTTTGGACGTCTTTTTGCAACTCTTTGTACTTTATCTGATGGATCCGTACGGTGCACACAACCCGATTTCTCCAACTCTAAAATTATAAAACTAACCCGTCGACTCTCCATATTACAAATCCGTCCCCGTCAATGGTTCTTGAAAGTTGGAATACTATTTGTTTTCAATTTTTTTTGGGTGGATACATAATAGTATATGCTTTTTGTAACTTTACTAGTACTAACCTAACTCAATTACCTAATTAAAAAAACCACATGTTAGAAAAAAAATATCATTTTTGTAACTTTTTAAAAACGTCGCAAATCCTTGCTATACACAAACATACAAAGTAACGATCAAGTTTTAGTTCTTGGTAACGTCTCACAAATTTAGAATAAACAAGAGTTTCAATAAATGCTAGCTCAATAGTTTGAACTTATATAGTTAGAATTTGGAATTCTAATTTTGCAGTCGAATTCCATAAATAAACAAACTCGTACGTTAAATACACTACATGACTTAAAAACACCAAAACGTGCAATTTCGAAATTGAGTTTAAATTTCTTAAACCAAGACAAGTACATGAAACGTGCGTCCCACACGTTTCTTTTGTTTTCTCTTATTGGCGGCCAAAAAAACAGAGGCGTTTCGATTAACAGAGTCCTCGGAGATATCTAAATTATTTCAATTTCCGCGATTTTGATTTATATGAAAATTTTCTGTTTGATTAACAACAATCGATAATAATCTAAAACGAGATTTTTTATATATAATATATACAAAAAACAACGAGGAATTGAAATTATTCGATGGCCGATTAGGATTCTTGTTGAAATCAGCTAATACTACTACTATTACTCTGTAGTTCCATGTATCAATTCATCGCCGGAGAGCAACGAAGCGACGAGATCCTGCACGTCGCCGGAATCGTTGATTCCTAACCGGAGCGTTTCCACCACGCGCTCGAAAACGATGACGTGGCAGGGGATATGAAGGACTCCTTTCTGAGCGTAACCGTATTCCTGAGCAGACCGGTTTAACAAACCGATGAAAACCGGGTGGTTTAGTAACTCAGCACTAACCACGAATCTCTCCATCTCTTCTCCGACGTAGACAGGTACGTGACCGGCGGGGACTGAGTTGACTCGTCTCGCCGGACAAATCGACCACTGCGGAGGCACGTGAGGACGGTGGTGGAAGCGACGGGTGCGGAAAGAGGAAGCGGTGGATCGTCGGACGGAGAATTCGGAGGAGGAGTCGGCGACACGAGAGAGGCGGCGAATCAGATGCTTCATTTTTTTTTTTTTTTGGTTTTCTCCGGCGGTTTTAGGAGAGAAAAAATTTGAAGTTAGAGAGAGAGAGTGACGAGAGAGGTATTTATATACTAAAATTAGAGAGGAATAGAGAGAGAAAGAGAAGAAGAAGACATGGAAAGGTTATGACGAGAACATAGAGGAGAAGAGAGAGTACATAGATGGTACTTGCCAGGTACAACCTCCGAGGAAAATTTAACTTCCACTCAATTAAATTAAAATATCACTAGTAGTAATGTTTAATTACTATGAAAAACAATCAAATATATTTATTTATCATATGAAGCTTCATACAATTACTAATTAGATATAAATAAATAAACTGAATCAAAAATTGGTCGAATATTTCGAAATAAAAGAAATACAATGATTATAACTAAGACTTACACATTTAAATGTTTAGCAGTTAATCAATAGATTTATTATTTATAGACAATTGCAAAAATATCACTTTTAAAATACTATTTTGTTCGATGTAGTTTAGCACCAAATAAAAAACTATTTTGCAAAAATATAGTTTTCCAATTTCAAAAAAGCTAAAAATTAATTACTTTTGAATTCTCAAATTTTAAAAATGTTTTGACTTTAACAAACCCTCAAAACTAAACTCTAACATAATATACTTAATCCAAATAAAAATGATATTTTGACTAAATGATACTCCCTCCAATCCTCGAAAATAATGTTTTGAATTTTGTTCTTGTTTCTAAAAAGTTGATGTTTTACTTTTTAGATAATGCATTTTTTTTTACAAAATAAATTTCATTGGTGCTAATATGATTTAATTATCTTGAAAAATGACAAATTGTGTTAACGTT